TTTTGATAAGTATAATGATCATCTAACGAAGAAGAGTTTCAATTTTTTCAAATGAACGATTTGAAGGCCTATTGATTCTAACAACTGATTGTAGAGTGATCATTCGGACCTTTCAATTCATACATGTGTGGATCACCAAAAGAAAAACAGCCTGGTAGTGATTGTTTTTCTTTTCTCGACAATGCGACTAATCTATGGGGAGCGGGATTCCGAACTCGAGTGCAAGGAGGAGACATAATGATCTGGCCAACTAGCCTAATCTGCGTCTGGATTTGATAATGATAGTTTAACAGGACTAACAGTGAGTCCATGGTGATAAATCATATGGTGAAGAGATAAAAGGGAAAAACTAACCATGCGATGAAGAAGATCTTGCTCTTTTGACAGTTCTCAGAAGTTACGAAATCAAAGTCATATACGGCATATCGACAATCATTATCAGGCAAAGCTGCCACAAAATCATCATAGCTCTCCGCCGGACCACCAATCTTTTCAACTACGACCTCCCTCTTCTTCTCCTCAACCTTGAATATCACATAGCGGTGAACCTTCTTTCTCTGCAGCTCCATGAAAGTGTTCTTGCTCTCATCAGAAACCCCCATGGCACATGAAGCATTTGGCTGGAAAATCAACAAAAAAAGTCCAATTCTGTTATATAATTTAACCCAATACAAAGGAAAACTTAGCCACTACTTTGCCTAGACATCTACCCTCTGTTTGGCCATCAGGACCATGAAAAATTTGGAAGTCTAATACAACGATCACACGGCGATATTTCAAACTACTCTAATATATAAGGAGGGATTCCGAATATGGTGCGGGAAACACTGCACTGATTAACTAGCTCAACTCACGTATGCAAAAAATTCCTCGAGAACCAACTGGATACTAAATACAATCTATTGGGTTCATCCAGAGCTACATCAGACTGAATTATCTTTACAGAAACATGGGATTTAAACCAAACCATATAGAAGCTTCAAAAACCAACACACACATGTATATAGAGAGAGAGAGTACCCGACTGAGCCCTCTGAAAGACATTGCAGCCATGAAAATCTCAAATATCCCAAGAGAAAGTTTGATCAAGAACGAGAAAGAACAGATTTTTCAGAGAAGGCTAGCAGCTAAAGAGAGATTTGAACAAATGAGGCATGCAGAAGAAAAGATGAAGAAATGGGAAATCTGAAACGAATCGAACTATACCAATCAAAACCACAAAAGGGAAAATCAAACTTATCAAACTATATAATATTCTCTTCCTTTTTTCTAAGGTTTAGAAAAAGATAAGGAAATGGAAAGAAAAATAGAAAGGTGGAAAGATTCGGATTCTAAAGGAGAGGAGTGCAGTCTGCAGTGTGCCTATGCTTTCTGGTATTACCCTTTTGCTGTGAGGCTCTCTGGTGATGAAAGATACGTACACATGGCGATGATGCTGCGTGGGACTAACGCTTTGCTTGCAAGCAAATTGCAATGGCCGACGTTGACTTCGGGGACCAGAGCTTCGGGGAGGGACCACTCTCCACCACCGTCCGCGCTGACGCGCTATAAATTAATCTTTATCCACTCGCCACGTACAGCATACAGACTCTACTTTCGTTACTTTCAAGACAAATACGTTATCAGAATCCGAATTTTGTCGGATTTTTTTTATGAGGATTTCGAAGATTTATTAATTTTATTATTACATATGATGTAATCAGAAATTATTAAAGAAAATAAAAGTAATCTTATTTTGACTATGTTTCTATTGCACTCAAATGTGAAAATGCCACGCCACTTAGTATTAATATTTAATGATATTTTAGGTGAAAAGGTCACGTGATTGTCACGAGCTCTCCACCAACAAAGAGCCGGAGCATCCGCAACCCAAGCCCGAAACATCGACTGCTTTCCTGGATCGAAATTTTGTGCCCTAAAAATTTGGGGTTTTTGGGTTTTGCGAAATTTGGTTCCTGGGCAGCTGCTAAACGATTGCCTGATGAAAATGGATTCAGAAGGTACGCGTCGGGATTGTGTTTTCACGAAATAATTGAAAAAAAAATCCATCTTAATTTTATTATCAATGAAAAATTGATTTCTTTTTATTCGTGTTAAATATTTAGCAGCGCAAAAGGCGTCGAGCAATAATCCGTCGGTAATGCTCGCTTCTCTTCTGAGTAGGAGAGCCAAGCTTCAAGATGAACTCCGAGGCATTGAAAAACAGGTTCAATTTTTATTTATTTCTTAATAATTTAATTAAATTTTTTGTTGTTCTTTCATTTAGGGTTGGAGAGTGATTTTTTTTTGGCTACTGGGTTTCTTAGTTAAGGTTCATTTCTGGGGATATAGCTGAAATGGAAGACCTTTTTCTTTTGTGCTTTTTTTTTTTTTTGGTTACACAAATGATTTTAATTGGTCATGTATAGAAAATCAGAAATGTATGTAAAAAAGAATTGAGTGTTTTTTCTTTCTCGTGTTATTAATCATAATGGAGAAAAACTTACATGAAATGGGTGTATAACCCTTTTTTGTGTCTATCTCTCTTATCACGTAACATGTAAGTTAGCCCGCCATAGGTAAGCGTTTCTCGTCTTAATGATGTTTCTATGGAAATTCGTTCTTTCTCATTTTGGTTCGGTCCGCAATTTAGAACCGAAATGCAGCAGAAGCTATGAATGGAAATGTATGCAAGTTAGTGGAGAAAAAATTAATTGGTTTTGTATAGTATGTTTAAAGAATAAAGCATTTTTCTTTCGTGTCTTGATGGAGACAAACTTACATGAAAATGAGTACATAAGCACACAATGAGAGAGATAGAGAGAAAGAGTGTATACGCCCGTGATAGGTAAGTTTTTCTTGGTTATGTTGCCACGGATATTTGGTTGTAATTGTTTTCTTTGTTGTTTTGGTTTGGTCCACCGTTTAGAATTGAAATGCAGCACAAGCTATGGGATGGAAAAGTTTTTTCATGTCTTGTTGTAGTTGCAGCTGAGCTGCGTATTTGATACGCCTCTTTACTGAAACTAATGTTTTCTTACAATGCAGGTGTATGATTTGGAGACTAGTTATCTGCAGGATCCAACTCAATGTGGAAATGTACTAAAAGGTTTTGAAGGGTTTCTATCATCATCCAAGAACACTAACCTGTGAGAACTAGCTAAGATATCCTTTGGCTTCATTTTTTTTTCTTTTTACTCCTTTGTAGGGTTATCCTCCTTAGTTAACTCTTGCCCATGAGGCTTCTGTGTTTGCGTGATAGTCTTAAACAATTTACTCTTTTTCCCATGAAGAACTGGTTCTTTAGTATTTTGGCTACTTAGATCGAATGCTCTGATTATTCAATTTTCCCTCTGGTTCTCTTCCTTTCTGATCTAACCTGTTGTGTTATTCCTCCAAGCAATCTTTTTCTTTGCTAGCAGGGTTCTTTCACTGACCACTTTTGCAGCTAACTAAAACCGGTAGTATTAGCTCATCTAGTGATCCCCATTAACTATAGACAAAAACTCATGAAATGACCTTTGGTTTCGCAGGTTGAGTCTATATTCATGGAATGATTATCTCTATATATGATATTTGGCGGTTTTGAATAAATTATATTCTTGAATTATTACTCGGGCAAGCCTTTTTTATGTCGGAGACATGCTTTAGCTGGGCGATGATTGGCCGTTACTCATTGCTCTGATGGCATCCGAATTGAATGTTCATACAGCACATTTCCCCTGAATAATATATTTTTCCATACAAAAGATTCCACATGGCACATGCAAGTTATATTAAATCAAACACACAGTGCTGATATTTTCTGCATCATATGCACAAAACTTTCATATTTGGATTTTGGAGTCTGCTGTATACAGATTAATGGAAAGGAATTCTTCATACCTTTTGACTGCAGCTTGAAGCGATCTAGGAAATTTCAGCCTGAAGATAGAATGTTTTCATTATCTTCTGTTACATCACCAGCAGTAAGTATTCCAGACATTAGAAGTCCTGTTAGGGTGGCCGTACCTGTCGTTGTCATCTTTTATTGTTCTAATTTAATGTCATTTTCGCATTATCAGTACATTCATGCAAGTGAATGTGGACTTAAAATTTCAAACCACTTTTATTTGCATGTATAGGTTTACATTGATAAATAATTGTTTGAAACATGAAACCGATGTTCATAGGTTCTCTTCCCTTTTCTCAGGCAGAGGAACTTGCGGCTGCACGAGATGGTAAAGCTTATGTTGCCAAATATACAACAACAGCCTGCGCAATTCTTATTCATTGTTTTGTCCCCTTGTGTTTATTGTAGATGGGAGGTCAGACTTTGGTCCAGGTCGGTCCAAAGGCGGTATATATGCAAATGGGCAGTAAGCACTCCACTATTTTTCTTTGATGGAAAACAGTTTCTATCAATTGCCGCCATTTATCTTTGAGGCTCTATCTCCTGGCATCACTGTCTGAAATATATAATTTATGTCACAGAGGAAAACCGAAGAAGGGAAGACCTGCACCGAGGGACGTGAAGAGAATCAGGCCAAGCGAACAAGATTACGACTATGAAGATGATGCCGAGATGTCATAGTGAAATGGGGAAATTATGGTTTTACCTTTCCATATGAGGTCTGCGCAAGCAAGAGCTGGGACCGAGAGCTTTTCGTTTAAGAAATCTTGCGACTGTCAAAAGCCATGCCCCTCAGGCGAGCAAAGCCCCCTTTTTCACTTGTGTAATTAACTTATCTCAGGCTGTAAGTATTACTCCCGAGTCCTGATAGTATTTAAGATTTGGTTATCTATGCATAGATCTTGTTACTCGACCAAATGTGAAACTTCGGTTGGGAAACAACTTTCATGAGAAACATAGTTGTCAATCTTGCAACGTTGTTTGATTTGTTTTCCATCTCACAAGGTTGCATCGTGCCATCAAGTATTTACTTGCGAAATTGGGTTGCTATCAAATTCGTTAAAATAAATATTGGACACGAGAAGCAATAATAAAAGGTTTGTAGCTCAAGTGGTTAAAGATACGAGAGAATTGTGATTCATTAAGCAAAAAATGCTTGTTTCCACATAAAATTTGGCTTCTTACCTCAATGTGTCATTTTCTCACTACAAACTAACATCTCACTGAAGTGATTTGACAAAATAATTAAATGAAGCTGAGCGTACGGACGTACATGCAACTGGTATCGTTAACTTGTGATTAATGCTGGTATATTTTCAAGTTAAAACACGTAATGACACATGATTAATGCCGGTATATTTTCAAGTTACAACATGGTGCCTCACGATAGACTTACTTGAGTAATTGAATGACGTCCTTTTCGCTTGTGGGCCTCAAATTGTCATTACATAGCACGATGTCGTTTCACTTGTTCCTTGAATTTATTTCCGGGCGGTTTGGCCCTCCCTATTCTGCCGCCGGAATTCTTATCCCCTTTGTACAGTCACCCATTTCACTCCACCACCTTCCCCCTCCGATGAAATTGTTGGTATGTCCCTACACCTATACATACACATATACATACATACATACATACATATATATATATATATTATCTTACATTTGTTTTCGTTCGTGATTCAATAGGAGAAGATAATGATGCGGAAGAAGGAGCCAGATAAAGCTCCAGCCCCTCCTGAGGTTCCGGCGTACTGGATCGAAACCTCCGAGTCGGTCTCCTACCGCTGCGAGTTTGACCCCAGCGGTCAACTCTCTGTAAGTTCTTCATCTACTTCCCCATGTTTAAATTGCGTATTCACTTCTGGGTTCTGCTGGGTAAGCAGTAGTTTGAGCTGCTGATGCACCCTTGACTGAAATTCCCAATTTGGGTCTGATTTGAGCTATGGGTTCTTGTTGATTTGGTGAAAAGTTGGGGACTTTGTGGTCCAATGGCAGTGCAAGCCGGTCACTGAGTGTCGGGTTGCTGGGTTTGATTTTAATGTATGGGTAGAGAGTGAGAGAGAGTTGTTTTGAAATAAAAATGGTGTGGAAATCAAAGAAGGGGATTTGAAAAGGTTAATTGTACACTAAGGTGTAGTTTTTTTTTTTTTTTTTTTTTTCTGGGAAATGAAATGAGGATGCTTTTGGTTCAACAATGTCTTAAGAATTTTCGGCAAAATAAAATACATAGCCATTGCAAAAACGGGAACTGGGGACCCGGTGGGAATTCGGGTTTTGGGGAATGGAAAGAGGATGAGTTGAAGTAGCTGCGGTCCGGTGTGTTTTTTGCGTGCCGGGTTGATTTTGTTCTTGCTTTTGTTGAACTACTTTAACTGCATTGAGTTTTCTGCAGGTGAAGATTCTTGATGACTCGAGACCAGTGTTCCTTAAGGTCGCTGACTCGTTCGTCAATAAATTTTTCCCCTCGGGATATCCATATAGGTAAAGTATTGGTTTATTCCTTTTGAGGGCCCATAAATTGGTTCAATTACTCATGTACCTTTTACCTGTGCAGTGTAAATGAAGGATATCTCAGATACACCCAATTCCGGGCACTGCAGCACTTAACCAGTGCAGCCCTGTCAGTGCTTTCAACTCAGGTCTTTTTTCTGATACCTTCAATGCATTTAAAATCATTATTTATATTTCTTGCATGGAAATTTAACCCTATGAATTCTGGTCGATATTGCACCTTGTACCTTTTATATGTTGCTTTTTGTGCTTACTTTTATATATATGCTTATATAGTATATACTATCTATTTATTTGCTACAATTCTTGAGTGACGATTCATCACATAAGCTACAGATGTCTGCATTCTTACTCCTTTACAGTCACTCCTATTTGCTGCAGGCTTGCGACCAACCCCTGCACAAGCAACTGTTGTAAGTTGGGTAAGTTCTCAATTTTTAAGAGTATAAGATCACTTGCGACCAAATCACGACTCTGATTGCTTTCATTTCGAATATTATCAATTCCATATTGTTGACATGCAGGTTCTAAAGGATGGGATGCAGCACATGGGAAAGCTTATATGTAGTAATCTGGGCGCAAGAATGGATTCCGAGCCTAAATGTTGGAGAATTTTGGGTCTGTTTGGGAGCTTTAATTCTTATCTAACTATATGTTTTTGGTGGGAAGTGACTTTAATGCTTTTAGAAGATTTTTAATTAGATTAAGCTTTTCGCCTTGCAGCTGATGTGCTCTATGACTTTGGCACTGGCTTGGAAGTTCTTTCTCCTTTGTGTCCACAGCTTTTTCTTCAAGTTGCAGGTTTTGGCAATTTTGCAAAGGTATAGTTTTCATAGAGATGCATACATGTGTATATTAATTTCTTCTCAAGTTCTCCTCACTTTTTTCATTTTTATTATAATTTTTTTACTGAAGGTAAACATTAGGTTTTTTTTTATTTCCTTTTTCTGATTTAATGTTTTATTTAAAGTAATAGGTAAACTTGTCGTTGAAATTTATTTTCTTTGTATTTAATACCACATCCGTGTAAAGTTTTGAGTCCCTTCTCCAGTCCTAAAATATAATTTTGTTGCTTGTTCTTTAAGAGTTTTACCTTTGAAGTTAACAGGGGATGGCAGTTGTTGCAGCGAGAGCAACAAGATTACCAATTTATTCAGCCTTTGCAAAAGAGGGCAATCTTAGTGATCTGTTTGCCAAAGGGGAGGCAATCTCAACTGTGTTCAATGTCATTGGAATGGGAGCAGGGATCCAATTAGCATCTACTGTCTGTTCGTCTATGCAAGGAAAGGTAGTGGATATGATTCACTGTCTAACTCTCAATTTTTACCATTCAGCCTCATCTATTAATTCTATTGTGTTCGTAATTGCACCAAAAGTCCATTTACAAACTGAGGTAAAAACAGGTTTGCATCACTCGTGTGCTATGACAGCAGTGAATATTGCGTAGTGTGTTATTCTGAATTCATTTCGTACGGTAGTTGTGAATTTCTAATATTCCTTTTGAAGGAAATAGATTCGAATGATCTTTAACTTGTTGCAGATGGTTGTTGGGCCTCTTCTTTCAATGGTACATGTATACTGTGTCATTGAAGAAATGCGGGCAACTCCTATCAACACGTTGAATCCACAGAGGACTGCAATGATTGTGGCTGATTTTCTGAAGACGGGAAAAGTATCAAGCCCTGCTGACCTGAGGTATCGGGAAGACCTCCTATTCCCTGGGCGACTCATAAAGGATGCCGGAAATGTGAGAGTGGGAAGGTCATTCCACGAGGTCATTAAGCCTTCAAAACTTGGTGAATTGAAAGGAATGTTCCCTGAAGAGAAGTTTCTTTTAAGTCGTGGAAACAAAGGGGTTGACATGTTATTGGAGCAAAATGCTACCGGCGAAGACGCATTGAGGGGGTGGCTTGTTGCTGGATACACTGCGGATATAGAGAAGTCTTTTCGTGTGCCGAGTCCGAGCGCACTGGAAGAGGCTTACGAGAAGATGAATGACGTATTTGGTCCATTTGTATTGGAACTGCAGGCCAAGGGGTGGCATACCGATCGATTTCTCGATGGAACAGGAAGCCGTTTTGCGTGGGGGTCGAATCTAGGTACTGATAATTATTCTCAAAGATATTGAAGTTCTTTGGTACGGATAGGATCGGACAAACAGGGACTTTGTGATACAAAAAGTTTATAGAAGTAGGGAAATACTGTTACTTGGGAATTGTACTCACACACCATAACCTTTAGGGGCGTTTACTAATTCATAATCAGATTAAGGGTAATTGAATTAAGGAGGAATTGAATTGAGGTTAATTGGATTAAGCTGGAATCAGAATCAGATTCATGTTGAAGTTGTTTACTAAAATATCTGGAATCGGAATAAAATTAGTGTCAATTCCATAAAACTTGTTTACTTATTCAGTTGAATCGGAATTAAAACTAGTATCATTACCAAACTACCCCTTATTCTAAATAATTATTTTTCATATAAAGTTATTGGAATTGATTTATATATCATATCATATTAATTCATAAAATAATTGATGAAGCTTTCTTAAGGTAATATTTTTGTAAATAAAAAATAAAAAAATCAGCACCTTATCCCCTTCCTCTCGATGTCCCAGCATCATCATCTCTTCCCTTTCTTCAATCCTGTCTTTCCCCAACCCCCACAGCCTTCCCACGACCTCCCATATTCACAGGTCCTCCACTCCTCCCTTCCATCCATATCCTCTTCTTCCCTAGCCCCCACAACCATCCCACCACCTCCCAAATTCGCAGATTCGCATGCATCCTTATATGTCTCTCTCGTTCTTAAATTACGCAAGCGACGAGGAGAAGTGGGGTTCGGGTGTGGCCGGAGCCAATGCTCCTCCTCGGAAAATTGGTTAGACTGGAGAAGAGAGTGATATGGGTACCTTTGTTGGATTTGGCGATGAAATTTGTAAGGCTGTTTTGAAATTAAGAAAATAAATTAGGGTAATTTTGGAACAAAACTTTGATTCCTGGAGGACTGCCCTTCAAGGAATCCAAATACCAAGTATTATTAGAGAATCTGACTCCGGTAACACCGGAGTCTGATTCCATAAATGAGCTAGGTCTCACCCCATTTTCCCCCCGATTTTCATTCCACTGGTGGTAGTAACACTTGAATTCCTCGAATTGTGTGCAATTCCCATTTCCCACATCTCATTTCCCATTTGTAAACACGCCCTCAGTTGTATTTAGGGAAAGAGATCATCTCCGGATCTCTTCTACCAAATCCGACGAATCAAGTGATCATGACTCTTGAAATGTGATCTAACAGTTCAAAACAGAAGTTCTCATTAAAAGTTATTATAATTTTAGCCATTTGATCAAATTTCAAGGGACCGGATCATTTAATCTATGGCCTTTGGTGGAAGAGATCCGACGAGGATCTCTTTCCTTATTTAGGATCATCATAATAGTTTTTTTGCCTATTTCCCTCTGTACCTTACTATTGATTTGCTCCCTAAACTTTTTTTATGGCCGCTTTTCTCATGTTTAAATACATTCTCGTCACCCTTCTTCACACTTTTCTCATATCACAGATACAAAAATGATAAAAAATAAAAAGTAAAAAAAAGGTTATCAAACAGACTCTTAATTTTATTTAACTTTCCTAATCTTATTTGTTATTATTATTATTTGGTTTTTATCACAAATGGTCTTTAAAATTGACTTTCACCATCAAGATGGTCATTGAAATTGAAAATCAATCAATGTAGTTCCTGAAAATAGGTGTCGCAAATCAATATGGTCTTCCGTCATAATTTTGTTAAGTATTGATGTGGCACATAAATGGGCCCCATAAGTCATTTTTTTCTTACAAATGGTTCCTGAAATTGACCCGGGACATCAAAATGGTTCCTAGAATTGACCCACAACATCAAAATGGTCCCTAAAATTGAAAATTGAACAATATAGTCCTTCTGTCACAATTTGGCCAAAAATTCTGTATATGCTGATGTGACACATAAATAGGTCATACAAGTCTAATTAAATTTAAACAAAAATACAAATAGGCTTAATAATTTAATAGTTAATAAAAAAGTTGTCAACCAAAAAACATAGTCCTGCAATCACCTCCGATCTCAGTCCACATTTATCTACATCCTTCGTTCTCTATTCTTATAAATAAATAAAATAAAAAAACTCAATATACGCATCTTTATACACTACTCAATATACGCATCTTTACACACTTCGACACTCTTCACCGAATTGAACCTGAATCGATACCACCCTTGCTGAAGGCTTGGCCGATTGGCAATGACTTATGGGACATCACCGTTAACATTTAGGCGATCAACATCCTCACAACCTTAATTTTAGAGAGCTTGTTCAGTGTTTCCCTAATGGTCTGGTGATGCAAAGAACAATGAGGTTTGCCTTGAGATAATGGGGTTATACCCGAGGTGGGTCTATTGTTGGTTAAAAACTATTTCCACACCCTCTCTTAGGCCTTGATTAAGCCTTGTACCTTTGAAAATTTATGAAATGGATCTCTCTTCGAAGTAGACCCTACTATAAGAAAAAAAAAATTCATTGTGCAAAAAGGTATTTAGACAACTATTTTAATTAGTTATTAAACCCACATCAGCACATAACAAATTTTTTTATAGAATTGTGACAGAATGATCATATTGATTTGCGTAATCTATTTTCAAGGATTATATTGATCGATTTTTCAATTTCAGAGACCATCTTGATAGTGTGGGTCAATTTCAGGGACCATCTTGATGGTATAGGTCAATTTCAGGGACCATTTGTAATAAAAACCCGTAAATCTTGTAGGGCTCATTTATAAGCCACATCAGCACTTAACAGAATTTTTAACATAGTTGTGACGGAAAAACCACATTAATTTGCGATACCTATTTTCAGGGACTACATTGATTGATTTTCAATTTTAAGAATCATTTTGATGGTGAAGATCAATTTCAAGAAGAGAAGTTTTATTCGAACCCATATAGCCTATCTTTACACCCAACTTAAACTTTAAATATGAATTGTCTTTTTTACTCTATTATAAAATTGTCATTAAGTACAAGATGAAATTAACAATACAACTTAAATTTATCTATAAACCCATCCCAATATCAAACCTTAGAAATCTTAAGATGAATCCCTAAGACGTGAGATAAAAAAAAAATGTGTTTGTACCATACTTGACCAATCCCAAAACTACCAAACACCGGTCAACGTTTTACCGTCAAGGACCCATAAAAGTTTCCCTCTAACCAGGAGGCCAATCACAGCGCAACACGTGTCAACACCAAGAGGCTAATCACAGGGCAACACGTGTCAACATCAAAGGCCAATCACAGTATGACACATGTCAAGGCTAGAACAAAGCTAGAAACTCTCTTCTATAAAAGGAGATCATTCTCCCACAATAATCCATAATGTCATTTGTACTAAATCATTCACTAGTACTCACAAAAGGAAAGATTGAACCTATGTATTTGTGTAAGCCCTTCACTCTTAATGAGAACTCCTCGACTCCGTGGACATAGCCAATCTAGGTGAACCACGTACATCTTGTGTTTGCTTCCCTGTCTCTACCCATTTACATACTTACCTACACTAGTGACCGGAGCAATCTAGCTAATGTCACAAACTTGACACTTTCTGTTGTACCAAAGTCCTTACTGATTTTATGCATCAACATTTGGCACCGTATGTGGGAACGACACTTATTCCCACTCTCTTCAGCTTTGTCAAGCTGGTTTCCACCATTCGTACACTCTCTTTTGACCAAGCATCCCTCTCCAACATGGGGAGCGAAAGAAGCCACAACACACAAAACGACACCCCATCGCACCTGGTGCGAAGCAACAAAAGAAGGAACAAAAGAAGTTTGCTTTTCAGGCTAAAGACGATGAGTTGGAGCCTCAAAACAACAAGATAGCGATGAAGAATGAGATCCTCTAAAAGTAGTATGAAAAGATCTTCGAGATGCTCCACGACGCTAGATATACTAAAACACACGAGCTCATCACCCCTGTGGAAGTCAACCATCAACTGGGTGCCCCCCAACACGGAGGGTCATTTGCCATCGACATGGGTATTCCTGTTGAAGAACGAGCTACTCATTGAAATGGCGACCAACATGAGACTTCTCTCAACCCAGCTGCTTCGACCCGAAGCAGGAGGAATGGAGGAAGGCATCTTGATGCGATGAAAGTTAAGCACTCAAATTAAACCATTTTGTTGTCAAATTGTAGTATAAATGCAAGTATGGATCGTTCTTAAACCGAAGATTATGAGGGTTTGCTAAAACCTCTAAACTAACTCAAAGACATAAAAACAAAGTTAAAAACATTTGAATAGACTTAAATGACTCAAAATAGATTCTAAAGACGCAAAACAACTTAAAAAACACTCAAAATTGCCTAAAAAATACTTACTGGGCAGATTTGACTCTAACACAACTTTGGACGAAATTTGGATTTTGACTTGAATCAAAACACTCAAAAACACTAACGAAATATAAATTTAACACTTTGAAACAACAAAGTAAAAGGGGGATTTTGGTTTTGACGAATTCGAAACGAACAAACAACTTATAAAATTAGACAGATTGTAAAGCGAATTTAAGAAATGAGATGATGGATGGATTAGTTAGAGGTCCGTTCTTCGCACATGACACACTTGTACATGAATCGATTTCCAATTGCTTTTCAATAAACTATGATACTCAACACCCCAGATTAACCGTGATGCACAAATTAACCCTCAAATTTTCCTTTACTCATTGAATTGGATGAATGCATGCGACAACCCAAATCATTCTCTAAAAGTCCCCTATATGAATGCATAATAGAGATACAATCAAAGATCATTACGTTCAATGAAAATCATAAGTGTTGACGAGGCAATTATAACTATGAATGCATGATACAATTGCCAAGAATTCAATTAACGCGATTGCGATAGACAACCTTCACTACTCATGAATATAAACTTGTAACGATTAGGTGAAACTCATTTATATTCTAGCATCTAATTCATGCATGAAAACTAAGTATGTATCCTTAATAAATATACAAGAATCAGTTATGAATAAAATAGATAATTGAATTGCAATCACAACTTATCAAATCACAATTGGAAGAAATCAATTCAAATCTCAAGCATGTTCATGGTTTCAAACTTCCCCTTAACTAAATAGGGGTTTAGCCACTCATAATTGCAACAAAATTAGAAAATAACAAAGTAGACATTGAAAGCAAGAACGGAGTACACCTAAAACGCTCCAAAGTTCCAAGCTTGAAACGCCAAGGACCTTGTTTTCACCACCTTGTTGTAGCACAAATGTCTAGGATGTGTATGGATATATGGATGGAATGGATTTGCACGGCTAAAAGATGAAA